CCGGGGGCTGGGGGGGCCCCCTTTTTATTGTGTCAGTCCAATGTTTTGTTTTTTGGGTTTTTTTTTTTTTTTTGAAAGGATACGTTGCTGCCCGAGTAAGGCGAGATGTCAGACATGTCCTGCAGGTCGCCGCACTCGGATTTGATGAGCGACAAGGAGAGTCCCTCCGCCGTGCTGCCGGGGTGCGCCGGAGAACACGAACGATGGTGGTGGCCCAGGTGGTGACCGGATGCCATCTTGGTCCTCAGGCTTGTGGTCTCCCGGGACAGGTCCATGGAATCTGGCGAGGAGCGCTCCTTGCTCGGGTAGCCACCTGTGGGTGGGCCCAGGGGACTCTGGAAGGGGTAACCCATCAGAGGCAGGGGGAAGGGGTGCCTGAAGGAGGGTGGGCTGAACCCCATTGTGGCGGAGAGCGAGGAAGGGTGAAGAGACGGGTGGTGGTGACCGCCGTGGGCGCCCACGGCGGACGATTGGTGATGGTGGTGGTGATGCTCGCTTGGCGTCTTCCTTACAACTAACGGCAGGGCCTCGGTTTGGTCGTTCACTGCGCCTGGAATCCCTGGAATGCCGCCGAAGGAGTCGAGCGGATTTGGAATGATGACGTCGCCGAAGCACTGCAGCCTCTGGTTGGCAGTGTGGAAGTTGGGGTTGTCCCCGTTGACCGCAGTCGAGAACCTTTCGGGGGGTAAAGAAAGTGGGGGGAATGCCTGCTGGGGGGTGGGACGTGGGGGCTTGGCAAACACCTTGACGACGGTGTCCACCACTTGCGTCATCGCCGAGTTGAGTTCCTGCTTGAGCGTTTCCGCCAGCTGTTTCCCTTCGGCGTGCATGGAGGTGCTCAGGCTTCCCTGCCCTTTGCTCCGCCCATTTCCATCTCTCCTCGTTTTGTCCCCGTCCCTCAGTAGAGACTGGTCTTGAAGCAAGGCCCGTGCCCGATCCAGGAAATGACCCGGATCCAGGTCAGACATCTCATTATCGGAGCGCAAGTCGTCGCCCCCTCGGTCGTCGGCGCCCTGGTCGTCGGCGCCGTGGTCGGACCTCACCGGGCTGTCTTCGGACAGGTTGCCGATGTCATTGTGCAGGTCGTGATGCAGGTCGTTGTGCTCCGAGTCATCGGTGGAGTCGTAGATCTGGAAGAATTTCTCCTGGAGTTGGCGGAGCTGCTTCTGCATGTCCTCCAGCTGGAGCTTGAGCTGTCGCCGCTCCTCCTGCTTCTGCTCTTTCCTCTGGCACACCAGCTGGGTGAAACTCTGTTGCTGCTGCTGCGGCAGACGCTGCTTGCGCTTATTCTCCCGGCTGCCGCCTCCGCACCCCTCACCCGCTCGCGGGCTGCCAGGGCCCTGGTGCTGGGACCGAGGGGGCGGGCACTCCAGATCCATTTCCCGCTCGCCGTCCATGTCGTGGTCGCGCTCGTGGCGATTCGGTGGCGGCACCAGAACGCTGGGGGAGTGGCTCATGCCTCGAATGATGTTTTCCACGCGGGCGCGCTTGGCGCGCAGGTGCTCGTCGTTCAGACGCTCCATGTCGAACGCGGCCAGGCCGGGGGGCCGGCCGAAGGGCGACAGGCATTCCTGAGGTGTGCTTTCTTGCGAAGAGTTGCTGCAGGCGTCCTCCTGGGGAGCGTCTGAGCTCGTATTGGAGAGCCCTGACCCGGGGAAGCCGTGGTCGCCTCGATCCCCTCTTTCTGGCCCTCCGCCGTTTTTCGCCAAGTTGTTCTTGAGCAACTGGGAGATAATGGTGGTGCCGGGGAAGGGCATCATGGCGTCCTCGTACGAGTTGGCCCGCTTCAGCAGCTTCCGCAGCACGTTGGACTTTGACTCGCTGTCCCCGGCTGACACCACGCCAGGCCCCCCGTGCGGCTGCACTACAGAGCACTCCATGGGGTCGGCGTCTGATCCGTGGTGAGAGTGAGCGCTCAGAGAGTTCATGGCACTAAAAATGGCTGCTTTGGCACGCGCAATGTTATCAGTGGTCGCTGTCGCTGCGGCAGAGGCGGCGCTGCCCACGGTCCTCTTCACACCGATGTCCACACGTCTTCGCTTGGTCTGTCTGTTCAGGAGGGAGTCGCTGTCATGGTCCGGCATCACGGGCTGCTGCTATTGGGCCATATCCCACAAAAACCGCACGTGTCTCTGGGAGTATAGGCTCTGAGCACCTGCGGAGGGGACGGGATCAAATACACGTAAATTAGCGTGACGGGTGAGGGGGGGGGGCGAAAAAACAAAATAGATTGATCACAGAAGAAGTTTGCAGCCTTACACGCTTGGGTTACAAAGCGCATACGGACCGCAAGCGGCAAGTGTTCCTCCTGGGACAATTTGACCACCTACAGAGGGGGTTATGGGAAACAGGCGTCAGAATTAGGCCTTCGCCTCGACATTACAGGGGCAAAGTCCTACATTTTCTCCCTGTCCCGTCGCACGGCGCGTGACACTGAACCAGTTCCCACGCAACACAAAGCAGCAGAAAATTATGATAATGACTTAAGCACTTGTCCTCATTTCCACGTTTGTGTCGTGCGTGTGTGTGTGTGTGTGTGTGTGTGTGTGTGTGTGTGTGTGTGTGTGAGAACATGGGCGCTATTAATTGGATGGGGCACATTAAACGGGGTTAAGATGATCTGCGCCAGAGAACGCGCTGCTGATCATCCCGGTGACTGAAATATTCGCCTTCCAAAACTCGTAGTGTCCCGTCCGCGTGGATCAATAAGCAAGCCACATCGGCTATAGGAAACAATGGCTTGGAGAAGAAAAGCAAAATAGGCCAATTGATTTTGGTCCCTACGCGAGCTCACGGCGCTTTGCTTTTTCGGGGGGTTTTTTTTTGGTTGCCTTTTCATCTGGCAAGGGCACTTAATTCTGCTCAACCGAATAGGTCACACCGGTCAAACTGCGACTTAAAACGCTCTTTGGAAAGAAAAAAAAAAACGCCCAAAAGCAGAAGTGGTCGCCGGTGTCGAGGTGATCAATAGAAAAATCGACGAGTATTTTAAATACATTCAGGAAAATGCTGTGAGAATGTTGGATAATTTTGGGGAACGCGTTCCAGTTTACTGGCACAGTCGGTTGCCAATTTCAAATTTTGAGAATAAGAAGGTGAAAATTCCGACCAAGTTTCAGCACTCAATTTGCAATTTCCAATGTCAAGTTAACAAAACTTGAGTGTTCAGGCAGTGAATTACCAACATTTTGCACTTCTTCAAAATATTTTTTTTCAAACATACTTTCTGAAAAGCCGCATCATCTACTTAGATTTTGGGAGCCAAATTGATGAATACACACACCTCAGATGAATAAAAACAACAACAAGAAATTAGGTTTTCACTGATGCCAGAAGAATTTCAAAGAAATGATGCTGCCGAAGGAAGAATTTGACTCTTTGTTTTCTTTTTTTTTTTTTTTTTAATTCATTAGGCCTTCAGTATCGCTTGCCATGAGTATTATTTAGATCTCGGACAGGAGATGAAGCTTCTCTTTAGACGCAACAAAAAGAAAACAAGGGGGGGGGGGAAAACTTGATCACCAGGAACCTTGACAATGGAGCTGGAAATAGTCACCGGCACTCGCACCTGTCTTTTGGGAGCCAGCACCTGTCTACCACAAAACACACACACACACACACACACACTCCGTATGCTCAATAAATTTCCCTTTCCTATCCACAAAAAAACATGGTGGAATACAATACAATTTAAACCTCAAGGTGTAGTACTCCATAAATAATAATAAGAATAATTACAAATAAAATAAAAACGATTCTAAAATATAATAACTAAATGAAAGTGACAGGCCACCATCTACAACAACCGCAGCAGCAACAATTTGAAGTGGACGTGCGGCAGTTTGAAAGCTGGGTCTTGTATTTGTATTATGAGGAGGAAAATCGTGCCCGATTGAAACACACACACCCACACACACACACACACACACACACGCACACACACACACACACACGCCATCGAAACCGACTTTTCCAGCACATGAACTTACTTTCAACTTTCCCGAATCTGAAACTTCATCCTCACCGAAAAAAGCACCGCAAAACTTTGGCAGCAAATTTTCCCAAAAGTAACGAAAACGACCATTATTTCCCTCCGGGGGGGCTATTTGGACTGCGTTAATGATAGTTAAATCGTTGTTTTTTTCATGTGCGTTTCTTTTTTTTGTTTTTGTTTTTTTTTTCCCCCCTGACCGCCCACCGGCGCTCACCGAGAGGGGAGGTATCCGACGACAAGGTTACTTACCCCCGCAGATGATGATGATGATGACGACGAAGAGGAGGAGGAAGAGGCGGAGGGGGGGGTTACCAAAAAAAAAAAAAAAATCACACTGACACGCTCCACGACAAAAAGATAGACAAGATCACCGCTTGTGCCTGGATGCTCGGATGGCAGGAATGAAAAGAAACGACAACTAACAAGAACACATGCACGCGAAAAAAAAAGCGACTGTCGGAAGATGCGAGGAGCTCTTTTGGCTGCCTTCCCCTCTTGCCGGACGCCCAAATTGCGAGCGGTGTGTGTGGTAACTGCGAGAAAAGGAGAGTGCGAGCGCGCGTCTGTTTTGTCTGGATGGACCAGGAGGACTGGATGCAGCGGTGCGCTCCTCCCCGGCCACTAAAAAAGATTCACTTGAAGACGCGGCTGAAGGAAGCCGGAAGACGTGCGAGCGTCACGGGCGACGGGGCGTGATGTAACCGTGGCAAGCCACCAATAAGAGACGACCAACTCCCC